TCTTTCTTTTTTGTGTTTGTTACTCTCTTGTAACACCTCTAATCTTCGGCACTTATACGACCTTATTGTGTTGCAAGTGCCGTAAAATACTTACTGAAACAACAAAACTTAACCCTTTACACCCCCCCAAGCCTTGGACTATGAGTTTGCCTACCAGTGCTGTGAGCGACTCATTAACCTGTGCCATAGCCCGGCCTGGAGTGTGTGTGTCAAGCTGGCTGAGCTGGAGGGCTTCCGGAACATCGACGCTAAGTCAGTGGTCAACTGCTCTACTGCTTCTTACACTTGTCCGTTAACGGGAGGAGTTACCCTTGAGAATCATTTTCTACGTTTGTAGCCCGAGATCAAATCTAAGTACACATATAAGTCAGACATAGTAAAATCTCTTGATACACAATTTTATTTTGGCATAGCAACAGCGGTTGCTGTGGAGCGGTTGCTGTGGAAATGGCCGCCATTTTGAAAATAAACAATGAATTTCAAATCTCTAAGGCTTTCTTATTTACTGACCAAATTTGGTGAGAGTATACCTGAACCAGACCCTATCAAAGTAACTGCAAGCTTTTTTCAATAAGTGCAAAAGAAGAAGAAAATATGAGAATTTTCCCAAAGTATAAAAGAACTTTCTAAATTTAGGTTGCTTAATCGCTTGTCGATTGAAAAGTGTTGTTTGTTTTCCCAAATATCTCTCTGTTACATTGATGACAGCCTTGCCATCTATGTTTCCTGAAAGTGTCATCTCAAAAGGATGAAAACTAAGGAAAGAGTTGGGAAAAAAACTGCAAAAAAATTACATATTTCGGAAAACAACAATTATTGTGAAAATTCACTATATTGACCCATCCTCATGTTTTCAAAGGCAATTTACAAGGAGAATAAAGACTTTCTCAATTGTCTCCATGCTATTTTTAGCCTAAAAACAGGTTGATCTTCAACAATCAGCCGACATAAAATTTGCATAGCCTGACCCAAAATCTGCAAAATCAAGGGTCACTCCTCCCTTAACAACTGAACTGTTATGATGCATCTGTTGGTGGTTGGTGGGTCCTGTGGTGTGGTCTACTCCTTCTTTCCTTTACACATCTGTCATCTTTGTCTCTCCTCTCTGTGGGTGGTTGGCGGGTCCTGTGGTGTGATTTACTCCTTCCTTTACACATCTGTCATCTTTATCTCTCCTCTCTCTTTTCTTTGTATGTCACTCTCTTGTATCACCCCAAACCTTCGGCACTTAAATAATAATAATAATAATAATAATGATAATAATGAAGATCATTTCTATAGCGCCCACTCCCGTGTAAACACAGCTCTAGGCGCTTTACATAAATGCATGTACGAACAATATTCACGCACGCTACACACATGCACAATACACACACTCATACACACACACACAAACACACACACATATACACATACACACACAAATACACACATACACACTCACGAACACATAACACACACATGTGCACACACATGTATGCCAAACACACTCGCACACACACACACACATCTACTTGCTTATCACACGCACACGCTTACACATCGTCACGAAATGAGCATAAAATAATCTACACGCTGCAATTCACAAAATACATAAATGGATACATAGTCATTTACATAACATTGTACTGAACATGAATCTACTGACTTAAAAAGGATGTCATTAAATGACCTATTTGTGTTGCAAGTGGTGTAGAACTCTGACTAAATCTGAAAACGTTTGCTTCCCGGGAAGCCGAGAATCTTTCTTAGTGTTCTCAGGTCTGCTGGGGGAATAATCTAGATTGTGAAGGGCATAGAGCTTGCTGTTGAGCACAGATTGTGAAGGGCATAGAGCTTGCTGTTGAGCACAGATTGTGAAGGGCATAGAGCTTGCTGTTGAGCACAGATTGTGAAGGGCGTAGAGCTTGCTGTTGAGCACAGATTGTGAAGGGCGTAGAGCTTGCTGTTGAGCACAGATTGTGAAGGGCGTAGAGCTTGCTGTTGAGCACAGATTGTGAAGGGCATAGAGCTTGCTGTTGAGCACAGATTGTGAAGGGCATAGAGCTTGCTGTTGAGCACAGATTGTGAAGGGCACAGAGCTTGCTGTTGAGCACAGATTGTGAAGGGCGTAGAGCTTGCTGTTGAGCACAGATTGTGAAGGGCGTAGAGCTTGCTGTTGAGCACAGATTGTGAAGGGCATAGAGCTTGCTGTTGAGCTCAGATTGTGAAGGGCATAGAGCTTGCTGTTGAGCACAGATTGTGAAGGGCATAGAGCTTGCTGTTGAGCACAGATTGTGAAGGGCATAGAGCTTGCTGTTGAGCACAGATATTTGTAGTACAAATGTTATTTATTATTATTATTGATTTATCTGATTTTTTCATGTGTGGGAGGTAAGAAAATTATGCTTAGGTTGCTGATAATTTTTTAGGTAACTGCACAAGGACAAACTACTAAATCTAATCTTCGGCACTTACATAACCTTATTGTGGTGCAAGTGCCGTAAAACTCTTACTAAAACTAAACTAACTACTCTCACTATAATAATAATAATAATAATAATTGCATTTATATAGCGCATATCCATGCTCAAGAGCTTGCTCTATGCGCTTTACAAATATTATTACCCCAGCAGACCCTCTGAGAACACTCGGAAACATTCTCAGCTTCCGCGGAAGCATACAGTGCAAGCTGCGGATTTCATGCGCTCAAACACTATCAAACTGACAAGATCTTTCACTGTCTATAACTGGATACCCATTTCCACCTATCATGTTTGTATTGTAGCGTGACGGGCATGTGATGAATCCTTTTTTTCTTC